CACACCTGTCTGTGTGTCACAGGTAAACACACCTGTCTGTGTGTCTGTGTGTCACAGGTAAACACACCTGTCTGTGTGTCACAGGTAAACTCACCTGTCTGTGTGTCTGTGTGTCACAGGTAAACACACCTGTCTGTGTGTCTGTGTGTCACAGGTAAACACACCTGTCTGTGTGTCTGTGTGTCACAGGTAAACACACCTGTCTGTGTGTCACAGGTAAACACACCTGTCTGTGTGTCTGTGTCACAGGTAAACACACCTGTCTGTCTGCAGGTCATTATGAGGTGAGCAGCAGTTTGCTCCACAGTGGACCCACAGGGTTCTCCTCACCCTTCAGATCCAGGACTCAGAGACTTCCTGGGGCTGAGAACCAGGTTCCGGGTCCCGGGACCTACAGTCCACATCAGTCGGCGCCCCTGGTGAAGAGGACCCCCCTGCTGTGAGTCCAGACCAGTTTGTGGTTCTGGTGGGTGGGTCTGTTGGTCTGAGCTCTTCCTGTTTCTGTTAGGAGGCGGAGCTGTTGTCTGGTGATAGCTCAGCCTGCTCAGGTGGTCCAGAAAGACCCTCCTGTACCGGGTCCTGGGACCTACAACGTAGGAGGTTCTGACCCGTCGTCCAAACATCTTAGGTCCACGGCTGTGTTTGCTTCTGGGACTGAAAGAATACCCCAGAACCTCCAGGACGAGACAACACCTGGACCAGGTGAGTTCATGGAACCTGGTTGTCCAGTACTGATGACATCATCAGGACGAGACAGAACAGGTGTTGGTGGTCTGGAATAATCCCTGATAATCCAACAGTTTGATATGTTAAATCTGTCTCTGCAGGATCCTACAATCCAGTCCTCCTGTCAAAGCAGAGCTTCCTCTACGGACCCACAGACTGGATCCCCATCTGATCCACCATGGACCACCATGGACCATCTGATCCACCATAAACCATCTGATCCACCATAAACCACCTGATCCACCATAAACCACCTGATCCACCATAAACCATCTGATCCACCATAAACCATCTGATCCACCATGGACCATCTGATCCACCATGAACCATCTGATCCACCATGGACCATCTGATCCACCATAAACCACCTGATCCACCATAAACCATCTGATCCACCATAAACCATCTGATCCACCATGGACCACCTGAACTGGACCCATCCTGTCTACTTTTATAAAACAGATTCTGGGTCTTCATGTTGGCAGAGACCAGAAGAAGAACGTCCTGCTCTGAGGAGATCTGAGCCAGCAGAGTCCAGAACCAGCTGAGAGGTCAGCTGCTGCAGGACAAGACCATGAGTCAAGGGAGGGCAGTGGGACTCAGGAGGACAGGACTGTGGGACTCAGGAGGACAGGACTGTGGGACTCAGGAGGACAGGACAATAGGACTCAGGAGGACAGGACTGTGGGACTCAGAAGGACAGGACTATGTCCCCCAGACACGGATCATTTCTGTAAAGGTTCAGGTCTTGGTCTTTACTGTCATCTAGTGGTCAAATTAAACACTACAACCAGCAGAGACAGAGTCCAGTCTTCTGTCCACACAGGTCTGGTTGGGTCCAGGAGACAGAGTCCAGTCTTCTGTCCACACAGGTCTGGTTGGGTCCAGGAGACAGAGTCCAGTCTTCTGTCCACACAGGTCTGGTTGGGTCCAGGAGACAGAGTCCAGTCTTCTGTCCACACAGGTCTGGTTGGGTCCAGGAGA